TTTAATATAACTAATTTGAGTAGAGATGGTATTTGAACTACAACTGCTTGTTAACGTGGAAGAATTAAATCAAAGCGGATTTTGATATACCGTGTTTTCTCGATTTAAATACACCATCAGGTGTAAGACGCAGCCTTTAATTAGTAATGGGTTTCTTTCCTTGTGCATAAGTACCACGCCGTCAGGACGACAGAAGTCACTTTCACAAACCTCGAACTCTTGAACCGTTTTTACACTAAGGAAGAACTGGTTTACGCGATAGGAGATGGTTGGAATCCAGAAACGGTGCTGGAGGAATAATATCTAGGCTTTTGCGATGTGTAGACCAGTGGAATTTTACCGACGTTTCAGAGGTAATTGCTGCTTCCGTCATCAGGGCTATGAGTAATCTACCTGATGATAGAGGCAGCAAGTACCGCTAGACTACGCGACGCAACACCCCACAAGACATTTTCATACTCGTCGTCGCCCTGAGAACCTTAGATCTCATCGAAGAATGCCCTGTCCTGTTGTTGGTTTACCTGAGTGACGTCATATGGATTCGTTGAAACAAAAATTTGCATGTTGAAACGTTGCGAGGACTGAGCCCCCGTCAGGATTTTGCTCACAGGGACCGGTGACTTATTTATGGCAGAGGGCTGAATCATTGGCACGTGGGGGCTACAGAACACAAGGTACTCATTTGTCGTTTCCGGTGGCTGAGAAATAGTTTCTACTAGGCGGGGACACGCGGCTAAGAGTCTGGACTATTGGATACCACGGGAACAGAAGATTGCAGTCGCATGTTATCTTGTAACCTCGTGTTCAAGCCCCGATACTCCCTGGATGGATCGAGGGCGAAATAGAACCACGCATGCGTACTGATATCTGACTGACGTCACCGATGATACTAGTTATAGTAAGCCTTACGTATTTAACTGACTGAATATCTTGGTTCATGTAATGACATAACACATCTGATTTTTGATACGTGGCAAGGGTACATATCATTAACTAGCAAATCGTTCTGCATGTAACGTAACGGGGAATTATACCCTGAGAACGATTACACCAGTTTGGTCGCTTTCCTTATCGTGATCGTAAGGCCTCCTCGAGAGTTAATGCCCCTCAAGACCTTCTTATCTCGTTCAGAGAGCTTTTAATCGAATCTGTGTCAAAACAGTCAAGGGCAGTGTAACAGAAGAAAAACACACATCAAATCAAAAATATAATTCAAAGTGGCTAAGTTACGTGGCTAGAACACTTTTATACCACCGTAAAAATTTAAAGGACTTAGGACGTTTGTAAAGTCAGGTTTTAAATTTTACGCCGAAAGACTTCTAGGACCAGTTTGTTTTACAAAGAACGGTGGGCGGGGATTTTGATTTTGATAATTTAATAAGGAGAAAATGAATTTTAGGATAATTTTTTAGGTACTGAAAAAATTCTCGGTTTATATGCAGTTTTTTTTTCTTAGGGAAAAATTATTATTGTGGTAATGTTGTATAGAGGCTTTGTTTCTTCAAACATTGAATGAAACATTTTTTTAAATACAGGCGCTGTGAATTCGTGTGCATATTGTGTAAATTCTTGGTTAGAAATATTTTTTATCGTCGTAAATTTGTAAAATGTATTTTATTGTTCATATGCTGCGTATAATCTAAGAAATAACCTTACAGACCTTTATCAATGTTAGGAAAGGTTGGAATCTACAGATACAAATTAGACAGCGGTAGAGTTGCATTGCAAAATTCAGAAAAAATGAAAATGTATTTTATTTTTTTTGTGAATGCTTAATGTAACGTGAGATTGCTGTTGGAGGGACTGTACTGGCCGTTGTGACCTGTAAAATACTGGGCTGTGTGGAATGTCCGTCCGTCCACCCGCCGCTGGTCTGTGTCTACGTTACCGTGTGATGTGAACGCACGGATTATCGTTGTGGTTCTGTTACACTGGCTATGTTGTTCTTCCATAGGCCATATACCAAACTGGTTTTCAAGTAACTAACCATTAGAAAGCTCGTTTCACGCATGCGCGGCGTAACGTTTTACCCCAAACACGATCCCTTAACCTCACACTGTCCGTGTTAATATATTTTACACAAATTTTTACAACAAGTTCTCTTTTCTAAACACATCAGGAAAATTGTAGTCCATATTATAATACGGATGATACGTGTATAGATCAGAGTCGGGGTGTTGGACCTGCTAACACTTTTTAAGAACGAAAAAATATGAAGTCTTAGTTTTGTGGTTTACTGATACGCCATTATACTGGAACGGCGGAACAGATAACCAAATGTGTCATGTCCACGTGTTCGTAATTCTACGAGTAACATCTCTATGCAGCGAAGAAGAAGAATAAGAATAAGGATTAACGTTTACGTGTCAGTGAAATTTATTTCTCATTGGACTGTAAATGTAAGGTCAGGTAACAATGTGGAGGGTTTTAGAATGACAATAGAGGAGTAAAATATTTGAAATGGGTTATTATTTTTCTTTCTGTTGTAAATACTCTTGGGTCATTATAGGCCCATATCAGTGGACTATAACTTTAGTACAGCTGTAATGAAGTCGTCACGTATTGTGTGTGCCTGATACACGCAGAATTGGAAGCTCTTTCGTGTCTTATTTACGAATGTAATATTATTCACGCCTTATTTGACACGCACTGAATTTAATGTTGTTTGAGATTAAGAAATCGGACCTAAATTTAAATACTGGGATAGTGGCTGAGCACTGCGGGTCCCAAATTTTCGTTGGCTTGATCTATAGACATTTTGGTAGGAATCCTTGGACGAGAAATTTAATTTTTTATTTTATTTAGTGTTCTGTCTGAGGACAGGTCCATATGAACAGGATCCTTCCCTCCTTTTCTCGGCCTGGGACCTGTTCATATACGTTCTTGGCAGATGATCCAGGAGTGGTTTGCCATTGCCTTCTTCTGTTTGTGAATGGAGTAATTGTTGGGATGCCATGGAGGAAAACTCCGTGTTGCCTAGACCACGGCCTTGCCCAACACAAGTTATAAATTCGGGCACCGCCGGGAATCGAACCCGAGACCCCAGGATTACAAGGCGAAAGGGATAAGTTTGGTGAAAATATCTGTATTTGGTGGACTGAAAACTTTGGGAAGTGGCCGTGGCTTATTTTAACGTTATATAACTCCGTTCACTTGGAAAGTCTAAGGATAACCACAGAAATTTTGGGCCAAGATGTTCCCCGATAGATATTCGAACCCGGTACCTTCTGAATACGATGCCCTTGTGTAGTCCTTTGTTTATTGATTTATGAACACAATTTATACTCAGCCTTCCTTCTTCTGTTCCGTTTTAACACAAACATCCTTGCGTGAAATGTCTTTCAAATGGCAAAGTATAAGCTCGGTACAGATGCACTTAAACTAAATCCTTTTAGCCATTAAAACCAGAATTCCGTCTCGGGACAGCCAGCGAACAAACATTAAATGCTAATATTCAGTTTTAGTTAATTTAAATGGATTTATCGTCTTCTTAGGCGTTTGGTGGAGGTTTTAATTTTTCCTAAATGCTGCAGTTGATTTTACTACATCGGGAATCGGCAACCTTCGGTCCTCGTGCCGCATATGATCGTATGAATATTTTTAATTCGACACTTCACATCATTCGAGAATTAGCCGATGCAAATATGGCGGACATTTTATGCAACCGAAGAACAAATTATCGCAAAAACTATATTTTAATTAAAGAAATAGTTTGTGGTTTTAGATATTATCTATGCTCTGTGGTTTCGATTGGTTTTCACGATATTATTTTTTTTCTGTTGTCTTCGGAAAAGGTATGGATATCCAATGCGGCCCGCGGTAATGAAAAGTTTGCCAACCCCTGTTCTAAAATATTCTGCCCATATTTAATAATAATTTATTTATATATTGCGAATACGAGCGGTTAAGATGGCAACACTGCGGTCGTGCCAGTGTGAACTCGGCCCTATCCGCCTGGATTTGTGAGGGTGTCATTACAGGATGACTAACAATTTAACTGGACCGTGCCTTTGTTATTGGCGGGTAACCGCAAGTACGCTGCTGGTTGGATTCTGTGGAGTTGCTACGTTCAATGCAAGTAGCAAGCGAAAAGTACACACCACAATCAAGTGTGTGGTAATATGGACCATAGCTTAGTATCACGTACTCACAGGCTTTTTTTTGACGTAAATACGTCTATAAGGAAGGGTCGTTCGGCAAAAATGTGTTACGAAAAAGTGTAACCTGGTTACCTAGGGAACGTCGTGTTTACTCGGAATTGTTGTTACCTATAAAACATTTCATTACATTACATTAGCCACGGTGGTCTAGCGGTTAGAACGCTGGCCTTGTAATCCTGGGGTCTCGGGTTCGATTCCCGGCGGTGCCCGAATTTATAACTTGTGTTGGGCAAGGCCGTGGTCTAGGCAACACGGAGTTTTCCTCCG